TCTCAAAAGTGTCAACAGTCACAAATCGGAAGGGTCCTGGTCGCGAAACGCAGAACTGTCGTCACTTTTGGACTCGCGTCAGGTCTTCGCGTCTCACAAGTGTCAACAGTCACAGATCGGAAGGGTCCTGGTCTCGAAACGCAGAACTGTCCTCACTTCTGGACTCGTCTTGCGTCTTCGCGTCTCAAATGTCAACAGTCACAGGGATCGGGGGGTTCCTGTTCGCGAAACGCAGAACCTAATAATAGTACCTTCAAAGCCTTCCTTTTATACACCCTCTTCAAGCCCTTCAGGGTACCCTTCACCGACAGCAAAAATAGATAAACATCAAAAACATCGAGGGCCAGAAGACTCTTAATTATGTAGTCGTAGCAGTACAAGTATCAGTAGCAGTAGCAGTGGTACTTGCAGTAATACTAGCAATTATCCTACTAATAAGGGTAGCTGCAAACAAAAGGGGGGGTCGAGGGGGGGCGCAGCCCCCCCGCGGGTTGGGTTGAAGTTCTTGATTCCTGCCAGTGCAGTCACATGTCCAACACGCCAATGCATGATGTCATTATGCTCAAGGGTCTAGTGTGGACTCAGTAGCACTCCGGTGCCTCAGCTGTAAAAGAGACACCTGACCGCCTTGCTGTCTGTGCCGTTGTGAGGGCAGTAACGCACAGGTTACATCTCAGCGGGGTGGGGTCGGGGCGGGTTGGGGAATTTCTGTTTGGCAGACAAGAAGCACCACAAACTCCGAAAACAAATTTCGCAAACTTAAAAAGACCTGTGAGAAAGCTTGTCCGAGTATTAGTAAGGGGGATGACTAGGTTCATGAAGACGCTAAGCACTCCGAAAAGAAACCTTTGAAACATTCAAACTTTCAAAAGCCCTAAATCCTGGGGCCTAAACCTAGACCCTAAGCCTACCCTAAGCCCTAAACCCTAAACCTGAACCCTAAGCCCTAAACCCTAAGCCCTTAACCTGGATCATGTCACTGGATCCGACGAAGCGTGACTGCTCAAGGGACTCCGGGCTCCATGGGACCAAGTAAGGGGGGATACTACGCTCGTGACGTTCGTGAAGACTGTAAGCACAGCAAGCTCCGAAAACCAACTTCTTCAAAACAAGTACTTTGCAACCCCCCCAACTCATGCCCTGTCCCTCTAAACGTGCTAGTGATCGCAATATTTTTGCACCCCCAAAGGCATAAGATTGCACCATCGCTGGCGCGACGTGCGCCTACTACTACTACTACTATTATTATTAATGTTTTTTCAAACTATTATTACTACTACTACTACAACTACTACAACAACAACAACAATTACAACAACAACAACAACAACTACTACTACTACTACTACTACTACTGCTACTATACTACCATTACTTCAAGGACTTGAAGGGGGGCTTGAAGGGCTTGACGGGGGTGTATAAAAGGAAGGCTTTGAAGGTACTACTGTTAGGATGAATGGGGGGGGGCTCCGCCCCCCCCCCAGCCCTCCCCACAGGGAGGGGCTGCTCCCCCCTCAACGCCCCCTTTTTGTTTTCAAGCCGAACATGCACGCGGTCGAATTCGAAACTCCCTCCCTTCACATAATTTTACTGCTACTACTACTGCTATTATTCGTATTATTATTACTACTACTTCTAGCGGCCCACCCCACCAACTATGTTCCTTTAAATATGAGGGGTTGGCTGTCAAGACCTTACGAGGAAGAACGCAACGGCGGAACGTGCCTCACCCACGCAAAATCATCAAAATGCTGTAAATGCCAATAGCTTTTGCGTGTCGCTCATCGAATTGACGTCACTATGCCCCCCCCCCCACTCCCCACCCTACCCCACCCTACCCCACCCTACCTCACCCCCTTTCCCGGCATCCGCACGCATTACGAAAATACAAAGCATTTTGGCATTCCACGAAAACCCATATTTCCTCAGTTTCTACATGGTTTCAGGGAGACATAGTTGGTAGGGGGGGCCTACTAAAACTACTACTACTACTACTACTACTACTACGACTGCTGCTACTAGTAGTAGTAGGACTACTAGTACTACTAGAACTACTACTAACTACTATTATTACTACTATTACTACTAGTTTCAATGCTAGTATTACTACAAGTACCACCGCCACTGCTACTGCTACTTCTATTGCTACTGCTACGTTAATTAAGAGTCTTTTGGCCCTCAAATTTGTGTTGATGCTTACCAATTCTTTTTGGATGCAGGGCGCCAAGATTGATTTGTTTTTGTTTTTTGTGTCATTTTTGATTCTTAGCATTTTGTTTTATTGATGCGTCATCCTTGTGGTGGTGGTGGTGGTGGTGGTGGTGGTGGTGGTGGTGGTGGTGGTGGTGGTGGTGGTGGTGGTGGTGGTGGTGGTTGTGGTGGTGGTGGTGGTGGTGGTGGTGGTGGTGGGGGTGCTCGTCATCGTCGTTGTCGTCGTTGTTGTCATCGTTGTTGTTGTCGTGGTGGTCATCATCGTGTCGTAGAAATTGTCACATTGTCATAGTCGTCGTGCTCGCTGTCGTGATAGCATGTGATAGCAGGAGAGGCGGCGGCAGCGTCCAATCTTATAATTTTGGAGTCTCGAAGAGTCTCGATAATCGTGTGTCATAAGCCTTATCGACGACCATCTTGGCAGTTTCGGTAAACCGCAACACGAGTTGAATGGCGCCTGGGAAGAATGTTGTCGAAGTCTCATTGCATGTCCTAGGCTTTGCATCATTTCATGCAATTCAAGCACCACATTGGATGCTCGCATGTCTCCGCCGACCTCGCCCCGAGTACGAATCTGTGGTGCAGCTCGAACGATGCAAACGCTTGAGTGCAAACTAGAGTAGACGTCGCTGGCCACTTATGATTTAACTTATAGCCCCAGTATTTTCACTTGGGTTGTTTGTGCATGCTTTTTTTTTGCTTCCGATTTGAAACGCAGTGTCAGGCAACGAGTGATCACTATTTCGAGGCGGCTGACTTCAGCAGGTGGGTCTGTTTACATGTACCCTCTTGGGCCAGCAATAAAGGTCGTTCTGCGCGTGTCCTTGCAGATGTTGACAGTGACCGCACAACAGCAATGGGTGATGGTGGGTGATGGTGGGCATGTGGGGCCAGTGCGTCTTCTTGAGACAGGTTTTGTCTAAATGGTGAGGAGTTATTGTAGAGGCCCATCCTCCACTACAAGGGCGGCAGGATCGTTGAGGTCAGTAGGCGTGACGAGCTTGGGAGGGCTTGTGGATAGTCCGGGTCCTGGAGTGAAAGCGCGGGGGCCATGCACACATCAGACCAAAACAGGTTCCTCGAGACATCACCAAACAACTCATTGCGCACCGCGCAGGCCTTCCTCCGTGGTCACTTTTGAGAAGATGAGGAGGCGCCTTCTACCTGCCTGGCAGCGATCCCAAGCGGACTTCTTTTCTGAGTTGGCGTTGCAATGTGCTGGCGACCTCAAGTTGGAGAAGGTCTTTCTTTGTTCCTTGGCTTGGCCTAAATCTTCCCGACACACTCACACACACTGCATTTGCCTCTAGCGGCGAGGTATGCCATGAAGTGTTGTGCAGCTGAGGTCAGTTGATCTGCATAAAGCAGGTCAGCAAAAAACCGCCTTGGTTGGCCGAATCCGAGCGCTGTGACAGGCTCAGGCAGATGATGCGCGCACTTTGTGGGCACCTGCTGAGTGAGGATGCGGCCATGCGCAAGGCTTGCTGCCGGAGTCTGGGCTGCTGCTTAGTCTTCGACAACAAGTACGCCGCAAAAATCATGGCACCGGGTGTGATAGCCTTCCTCGAAGCAGCTTTGCAGTGCTCTCTGCCGAACTGGTCTCGTGTACGCGATGCCTTGAGCCTGCTGGCGTATGTCTACCGATCCCTGAGCAAAGCCCAGCGGCAAGTCTGCATGTCGATGCTTGCCAAGATCTTGCAAATCTACGAGGATGTTGATCAGCAGATCGAGGTACTGCATCGAATGAAGGAGCTGTGGACAGCTGACGCCAACCCCAGGGCCACATTTCCAGAGGCCAATGAGCTGTTGGACAGAATGAAGCGGTCGCCGTCGCTGGATTCGAGACTGAGAGAGGCAATTAGCCGCTTGTGCTTTCGCTGTTAGCGACGCGCGCTAAAAGAGGTCAGTCAAGCTGATGGCCGCCAGGCAGTCAAGCATGTGAAATCATGTGAAGCCGTGTTCAGCCTCAGGCGATGGAGGCCATGGAGCAGGATGTCTTGGACAATGCGCCAGACGATGGCGAGGTGTGATTAAAGGGTTATGAGATCTTGGGTGTAGCAGGGTTGAAGGTTTTTTTGGGATGGCAAATCGAAGGATCGAAAGGGCAGCACCGGCGCACCGACCCTTGTGGACTGAGAAGAAGCCTGGAAACAGCAAACGCGCCATCCGTAGTTCTTCTCCATGTAGTTCGTATGTAGGTCCGACATAATCCGGTTGTGTATACTTCATGAACTCTACCAGTAGGCTGCAATCGTTCCACGGGAAACCACATGTATTCCTCAACAACCTCAAGGGCCCGGTGCGACGCCACCCTTGCCCGGGAGAAGCATTATCCCATATCGTCGTAGTGCTGGAAGAGACCTGCAGAAACGAAGTCAAGGGCCCATGCACTTGTGCCAGCGATACGGGTCGCTCATGACATGATGTTTCAGCTACAGCCAAATGCCAGGCGGAACTAAAGCTCCTGAATGATTTGATCAGCGTGTGGCGAGAGCCAGGTCTGGTCAAGGCTCCCAGTGTTCTGTGGAGATGACACTGTTTCAGTCAGCCTGGCAGATAATCGCCAAGCCACCTGCAGGTGCCGCCGCGAAAGGTCATTCCAGATCTCAGCAACCGAGGCGCGCTAGGTTAATCACAACGGGCAGTAGCTGTGGCTTGCGGCCTTGCACAGATCACGCAACATGAGCCCTTTGTCAAGGCCACGCGGGTCTCACCGTTGAGCGTGTTCATCACCTCGCGATGAGTTTCAAAGAGAAGGGCATTGGTCTTAGCATGTGTTAGCCATCATGTCACGCAACACTTGCATTCGCTGCAAGCATGAGAGCTGCTGGCACTGGCTTTCCTGGATGCTTCCGAGCTATTCTTCCCATACCCGCGTGCTACTGCATGTCTGACATGTTTCGATCCGCTCTGGTCTCGATCTCGCTCCTTGTCTTTAGGCTCAGCATCTGCGCCAGAGATCACAGTGCCTAGTCTGACCCCATCCAATCAGTGTACACCTGTCCCCTTGACGTCAAACTAGCTGTTCCTCAGGGCAATCAGGGCCATGACATTCCCATCCTCGTGCCTGGAGACTTAGCGTGCTGCAGTTCGATGTTTTCACTTGCGTAAATGCCATTGGTCTTGCAGCTAAGTTTGTGGTGCGTTGGGGCATGGCATCTTACGGGAAAAAGCAATGGCAGCATGTTTGTGCCCAAAGAGGCGTGAGAACACCAGCAGCGAGCTTGGACGGAAATCTATTGAGCCAGGGTCTGAGAACGAGCCAACAAAAGGCAACGGCTAGTAGTCAGGATGCAGAGATGGTGTTGTGTGCGCGAGTTCCCAAAGTTGTTTCTCAGGTACTGGAGGTCGAAGCTCCAGGACGAGAAAGGTTTTGCTCCAGAGGAGCGGCGCACGGCACTTGTGAGGCTGACTGAAAGGAGGCCAAGGCAAAGAGCACTCGTGTGCTCTTTTCGCTGGCCGCTTTGCTTGTGGCCATGCTGTCTGTAATTCTGAGCTGGTCAGGAGCATTATGAGTGGCTTTTCAAGGAACAGGCACCTTTCTCTGCTTGTCATCTTTCATTTTAGCAGTACCGCACTCTCCTAGCAAATTGGATGATTCTTTCTCAGGAGCTGTACACTTCTTTGAACAATGCTCACTTCCACGAGGCAACTTGGTGGGTGCTAGGGCTGATCTTCAAAACCCATGTGTGATGCATTCGTAGGGGTGAATGGTCCTGCCTGCAGGCTCTCAATCTCTTCTTTCTAGGATGCGCCAGCGAACACCTTAGATCAGCACACATAAAGTTTTTCAGCCATAGTGTTTTGTTTCTTGAAGGCAACACCTGAGCTGCTTGAGGCATTGTTGATCAGAAAAACTACGTCACTGGCCAGGGCAGCTGTCCTCTCCCTTTCCACACTGGCAATTTAGCAACTTTTCCAGGACTGTGATCTTAAAGAGGCTATCTACCAGGGAATTGGTGCGGGACCCGGGTGTTTTGAACGTGCAACTGAACTTTGTCGAAAGATTAGGCCACGCCCACTGGCAATCTTGATCATGTGTCTTCAGCAAACGAGCCATCCCCCCTACATACCCCGCTAGATAAAGTTCTGCCCAGGCAGCATCGTACTGAAGTCGGAAATCCCACTCAGACACCGTGATGGCCCTGGCATCGGCTGCTTCGGTCCAGAATGTGGCTGTCGTTTGCAGTTGTGCTTTGTGGACATCAGCAACGTTTCGGTCGCTGTGATCTGGTCAGCTTAAAATTGTAGTTGACTTCATGGAGTACCTCCGCGAAGGTGAAACACTCAGCAAGCTGCTGAACAGCAAGCGTCAGTTCAAGTGGTCACCTTGCCTGTCTTGTGTTTCGAACAGCCGCGTTTCTGTCAGGTCATGCTGGTTTTGTTTCGCTGCCAGGACCATGAGCGAGGATGGAACCCTTGACATCACGGATGCTTCCGAAAGCAGTCGCACCTCCAAGCAGTTGGAGGCATCGGAAGGGAAGGCCAGGATCCGAATGTTTTGAAATCACCCGAAGATGTCTTCTGCGACATTTTGCTGCACTTCATATTTGGCTACTCAAGGGAGTCCCAACATCATTTTCAACTAGAGTCCCTTAATCATGGACGGCTTGGAGGAGCTCAGCATCTCCTCCCCCAACTTGGAACACGTCAACCAGTCAGCTGCTTGGTCTTGGTTGGGCTTTCCCTGGCCTCAGTTATGATCACTTCAAATTTGCCAGAGCTCCTTTTTGGCCGCACCTGCTTCCACTGGTGTGCTTGATGGGTGCCGTGCTCACACTGCCTGCGGCCGTGGGGTTTGGGGAGATTGGGGGAGGCACATCATGCAGAAGTTCGAATCGCTGGAGCCAGCGTCTAAGCGTCTGGCGTCGTGGTTCCCAAGTGCAACCCTAACAATTTGGCTGAGGGCACACGCCGCCATCGAGAGTCTCAAGGGCGAAATGGAGGTGCAGAGTGCTCTAGCAGTCGCAAATCAAGTCAACAACTGAGATGACTTTCTGTCCTTCCGCTACATACGGGAGTAAAAACGCTCTTGTGCTAGTACCCTTCAATTACAAGATCAAATGCTTCAAACACTTCACAGCTTGCTGGGTAGGTTTGCTCATAGCACATAGCACTAGCAAGGGCCTTAGTTGCAAACTGAATATCCACACGATCTTGTGACAGATACAGGATGCTTCCTAATCCTGATCTAAATCTCTTTGCTTCTTCTGGGGTACATGTTCTACTCCTATCCTCCTTCATGAAATCGGGATGTTCTGGTGTAGCCTTCTCCTTGAGCTTTCCAAGTCCGTGCAAGTCTACAAGGGCCTTCACATACTTCTCATTTGGGTGCATTACTACTCCTGCGGGTAAGAACACCTCCTCTTCAAGTAGCTTACTTCTTCTCCATCACCTTTAGGTCCGACTGGGAACGGGCCTTCCTTCTCCACACTAAAATGTTTCTCCAATTCTGAGATCAACCATTCTGTTGGTTCTTCCTTTCCTGCTAACATCTCATCATGCACATGAATGGAAATAAGTAGCTTCTTGATCTTGTGCTTACCTAGAGCTGGTAGGTGCTGACTGAAAAGCCTAGGTTTTCCAAGATTTTTCTGAAGTACTCATACCATTCTCTGGCTGCTGCCCTTTGTCCCGGTAAACAGCGCTTTAGCAACCAACTGACTCCTTCTCCATTCGCTTCATCCATCCGCTTATCTTGATTAGGACTGTTTCGGTTTGGGGTACCATCAGGTAGGCGTTCTTGATATCCAGTGCAACTATCTTCCAACTGTACAACAGATGTAGCAACAACAACAACAGTTTTGTTGCAGTTCCTGTGCTTGTGGGACTAAAAGTCTCGCTAGTGGAGGCATCATTTCCACGCTACTCACGTGCAACAATTCTATCGTAAACTTCGCGCAAATCTAGATACTTGTTCTCTTTATGCATATAGTCTGCTTCTGCAACTTCTTCAATCACGCCTAGCTTGCTCAGGCGTTTAAGTTCTTCAAGTGAGGCTTCTTCATCCCATATGTTCAACTCTTCCTCACTAAGTTTTGGGGGTTCTCCACCTTGTTCCTTACCATGGTCTTCTTCTTCCCCAAATTTGTCTTGCATCCATTCTTCATATTCATCATCTGCATCAGTGTCAAGGTCAGGATCATTATGGAAAGCTTCTACTTCACTAGATACCCTGCCTGGGAAAAGCGGTGGATGTAACACGCTACCGCTTGAGGTTGGGGTGCTTGCTTCGCAGGTTCAACTTTCTGCTTCTTGGATTCTTGAGACACACCTGCTTCTGTTGGAATTGATCCTTCTGCAACTCTTTTCCGAATTCTTCCAGCGTCATGTTGTCATCAACCAACATGTTATCTTTTCTCTCAACTTCCATAGGCTCTGGCAACCTTTCAGTAACCGGTGCTGGCAGTGCTGGTTGTGCTGTTGTGGATTCTTTGGTCACTTCAGAGTGAGCTTGATTCCTGTCTTCAATTTCCACCTGGAGCAAGACAAGCTCTGCAATCACATGAGCCACGTCGAAAATGCGCATACCAGTGAATTAGTTGTCAAGAGTGAATTAGGATAGTATGATTGAGATCGATTTTTTAAAAAAATCTTTGAGAAGCCAAGCACCGGGAAATTGCTAGGCCAGCGCCAGAGAATTCTAATCGCATCTGGATTCTAGATCGAGTCTTGAGGTCCGGGAATTGTTGTGGAGGCTCCTGCTCTCAGAAGGGGAAGGCAAACAACTCCGCAGTGAATGCTTGCTACAATTCCAACAGGAACGTGTTTGGTATGGCCGAGAGCCTGTGCCTGGCATGTGACGGGAGGTCCTCCGGCAGATGAGAGCCTTGGGGTACGGAGGCCTGACTGCCATGGATTTGTAGAGAGTGGAATCTGCGGTCGCCGTGGCAAGACGCACATTTTGTCCATGATTCATGGATTGCACATCAAGCCGCATGCTGCTCAACCTTTGCATCCTTTCAACCAGAAGCCGGCACCAAGCTTTGACAGGCCTTCGAATTTACCATGAGGCCGCATTGAGCATGGCATCTCGTGTCATACAGGTTTTGCAATTTGGCAATTGAAGCTGTGCGAGTTCTGTAGACAGCCTGGCCAGTGCACTTAGAAGAAGCCCTGTTAGCTTTAGTTTGCACGTCTACCAGTAGCTTGGTATTGAGATCTCTCAACATCTCTCAACGTCCCAATCCCGGGCTTGCACTGGCGGCCCTAGAGCTGAAACGGGGTGATAATCCTTCTAGGGCCTTATAGGGACTCCCAAAAAAGCACCCTAAGTGCAAAAACTTCAAACTGCTTAGATTTCTGAACTGAAGCTGCTTCCCAGTTCTGTCTCATGTGCAGGATCCTGCGGTCTTTGTTGTGCAGCTTTCGGAGCGTATAATTGCATGTGCAGTTTGATGGGGGCCTGTTCAGCACACAAAACAGGCTACCGTTCTGAGAGATGAGAATTCCAAGAGGTCATGAGGCTTGCCTTTAGTACGCTTGCCTTTAGAATTCTAGCTGACCATCACCAATTCTGGCTTTAAGCGATCCTATGTATGCCTTGTTGTCAGCACGGAAGAAAACGTGCCCACAAGCGAAAGCACAGTTGCATGTGCAGTTTGGACACAGGGATGGAGCAATGTCAACTACGCCGATCCTGGAGAATTCTCTACGGCCTTGCAAGCTCTCATCAGTCCTGATGAACTTTGGTCATAGGTAGCCGTAGACCTAGTTCCAGCAGCAAGAACAGAACAAGAAGTGGTAGTCACACGACATGAACAGCAGCAGAAAGGCCGTGTTCTTTCAATGACACTACTCGCAGTATTCCGCATACTACTGCACATTTATGGACAGCGTTCCACATAAGGAAAATGTAAGCAGCTGAAGCCCAGTTCTATTCATTTGTGCCCATGTATTCGGGGTTCTCGCTTCATATTTGAAGGGTGCTGAAATGGTGGCTTCTCGTGAATTTTCCATGGAATGCGCAAGGGGTCCTCATCATTAGGCGCTTGATTTCTGGTTGGCTTTCATGGCCCCAAGACAGTCTGCATCTTGCACTCGGAAGAGGCCTTGCAAGTTGGAGAGCCTACCAGCAAGCTGCTATTGCGGATGGGCGAAATTGTGAGTAGAACCAGCGAGGGCCTCCAAAGATGAAGGGCTCAGACGTCTTTGCCTTGGTAGCCGTGTCTCTTTCACCACTTTGACCCCAGGCCCCAAGTAGAATCACCTCACCTCTGGCAGCCGCAGGGATGCTGATCGAATTTCCGTGCCTTGTACGCAGGCCTTGAAGCTGACTGAGCCCTGCAGAGAAGAAGGCAAGTTACTCGCACGAAGCGGAGCGCTAGCAGCAAAACCGGAATCATCGCTCGTGGGCTGGGCCAGAGCATCGAAGCTAACGCGTTATGGAACTTCGCTGGGGATCATATAAGTTGCCATAGGTTGAGTCGCAAGCTGAAAGGGTTGCACCGCATTCTAGACAAGTGCTCAAATGTGGGGTGTATGGGCAGTTGGAAGAAGGCAAGCCTGGACACACGATTACGGGCGGTCTTTATTGAATTTTTCGCAACTCCATGTTTTTTCAGGGATTTGCTCGTAAGATTCGCCTTAGGTTGCTTGGAATTGACTGCTGCTTGCGAGTGAACGCCGGACGAAGGAAAGAGTTACCATTATGTGTGAAACCAACCAGATGTCTCGTCGGCAAGTTGAGAGATTATGAATGGATTTGGGGAATTGACGATTCTGTTGCAGAGGCTGCATGCTTCATAAAGACATGCGAGACGTTTCAGCGGAAGTTTATTGATACAGATGGGCCCGCAAACCCAAGGAGGCAAGTCTACTTGCAGGAGCGTTGAGAGAAAGTCTTGAAGGCTTCCAGCACAGAAGGTCGTACCTGAGAGGATGGTCGAACTATTTCGTAGCGATACAGTTTTAATCTTTTCATGATAGCAAGGTTCAAATCACCTATAACTGTAGATGATGGGGCCGGCCCAAGCGAGAACTTCCCGGCCAAGAGCGGAAAGCGCACATCGCATCTCGGCTGCTCATGTAGGACCCTTCGAAGATATCATCGCACGAAGGGACTCTCTCGCAGGGATCCGTCCCCAAACGTGTGATCTCGGTTCCAGAGCTCACTATCAAGTACGTCCGACACGCCATTGGTGGAACAGCTGCAGCGTTCATGCGCATGATATCCGGACAGAACACATGATGAGGCAGTTTGTGCATGGCATCCCAGCATTTGCGGGTTGAACCTTGATCCTTGTGCTTGTGCCCGGCGCCGCGAAGCTGTCACTTGGTGCAGGCATGGGGATGCACTGAAGGTATGGTAAAATACACCCAACTCCCAACTTTTGGTAAAAACCTTGGGATTTAGGGCATTTTGCCGAGTCTTTGTTTTCTGCAGCTCAATGAAGAAGCTAACAACATTGCGGAAGAGCCATCCTAATGCAGGGTAAGGCTCCTACAAATTGAGCCCAACAGTGCGTGCCTTGTGCGGGACTGGGGATCGAGGTTTAACTTAATGACTGGCGTGAGCTCATGTTCCGGATGCCGATTTGAAAGAGACCGCTCACATGTCCAATGCAAACAGAACCCATTCTCCAGACTGAAGGATGAGCACTAATTCGCTAGTGTGCCCTTGTTGTTGAGTCCTGGTAGGCGGCGGCTGCTCCTGATTCCGTGAGCGCGGCACTTGAGGCCCTGATTAGATTTCACGAGACCATGCGGGAATGTAGGGGTAATGAGGCGTGAATTACGCAGGGGTGCCGAGAGCCATTGGCGCTCTTTTGGCAATAGATTCAGGAGCTTTAGAGGACCACGTTGGGTTGCTCAAAAACATGAAGGCTACAGTACGTGTGCTTTTTCAGGTTCGGGCTGCTCCATGCGAGCTGAGGTAACACTGGGTTGGTGCCCTTGATGCTTTCAGTAGCCCGCGTGCCCCTCGACCCAGGACAGGATGCCCCCCGAAGGACCCATACATCACAGACAGCCACATCGATGAGGGTGTTTAAGATCGTGCAGTGCCTCTTTTGTTCTTAAGCAAAATGCTTAAGCTATTTGCGGAAATGTTCTTGGCCATGTAGGTGAGCTTGGTCTCAAAGCTTACTACGTAGAGACAGGTTTCGTCCGCCAGAGGAACCCTGACATGAGTTCGGATGCTAGCCGGCGTAGAAGCTACTAGTAGCACCACCTGCGTCCAATGCATCCTTTATGTAGGGCATTGCGTGAAGACCTGCATCTGAAATCGCACCACATACGTGAAGTATGCACTGGAATCAGTATCTTTGCTTTACTGGATTGTTACTGTGAAGCCGGCGGGATCGAAGTCTTGACATTCCAAAGCTCCCTGAGATGGCAATTCTTCTAACTCAAAAGCGTTCTCTCGGATCGCCCGAGCTGCGGGAGGCCCAAGGTTCAGACTTAGCAGGCATTCAGGATTTGCACCATGATTCCGAGTAGAAACCCAATGCAGAATCGCGGCTTGAGTGAACTTCTGGGGTCAAGATAAACTTGTGTGAGTGAAAGACTCAAAGGTCAATTTTTTGGGGGGCAGGGAACTCAGCAGCCAGGAATCCAAATAGTCTTGAGAAGATTCTTAGTTCCGCTAAAAAACAGAGGAACCATTTCAACAGCAGGGGAGCAAGCGTGATGTACCAGTCGATTCAAAGAAGCAGTGTGACACCTTCGCAGTTGTTTGAATCATCTTGAATCTCCCTCACTGACCCAAGCGCTGAACCCAAATTCTAAACGCCCATTCCTTGCAGGAAGAGCAGGAGGAGACAACAATCGTGCCCAGCCCCCGGCAACGTGCGGATGTTTACGATGCCATGTGAGCCAGCATTTTTCCGTCAGGGAAAGTAGAACTACAAGTACGAGTACGTGTGCAAGAAGAGGAGGAAGAACAGCAAGACCACCTGCCACTGCTGTTATGATTGTTTCTGCTTCTATGATTTCTATGGTTCCGTGGGTGATGACCACATTGATCGTTGTTTGTACTACCGCGCGTCCAAGTTTATTATCTGCTCGGCTACCAATGCAGTACAGCCAGTGCAGCAACCTGTTCTTCAAAAACAACGTAGCACCCCTTAAGACCTTTTTGCTCTATAATCCCCTAGCAGGCTCCCTGCAGCACTGTAGAGCCACTCTGGAGCCACGATAAACTCCTGATGTAATCTACTCAAGCTCACATCCGAGGTTGAGGCACGTGCTGAGTGTCAGACTGCCAGAGGCGGCTTGGGGGCGGATGTTGGAAGACGGGACTAACCCTCCCATATGCCCCTTATACATATACCTATAGAAGTTTCATACCTGAATTAATAGCTATAGAACTTTCATAACCCCCCTTTAGGGATGGTCCTAGAAAAGTGCAATCGTCAAAGCACGGATCTCCGTAAGTAGCTTGAGGATTACGAAAGGCACTGCAGGGACAACAAGCATACGTACTCCTGGACAAGAACGATTCATTCCCAACCCTAAAGCCCTAAACTCCTTAACCCTTCAAATGCCGGGAATGCGAAGGCTCCAACCCTGCGTAAACCCTAAATCTTGAGCCCCTTCCTCAGACCTAAAGATGTGATGCATTTGCAAACAGAGTCATGCCAAAGTCTGCCTATGCCAGCTGGAGCCGAAGCTGGAGCCGAAGCTGCAGTCCCTGTTGGAGGCGTGGCATGGGGTTTATGTTGAAGCGGGCCGCGAGAGCTCCCAGCCCTGATTCGAAGATTGTGTCAGTAGTCGCCAATCCGTTCAGGGCCATCTGGGGCCAGCATTGGTCAAATGGTGTCCGTGACGCTAAGCATGGTTTGTTTCTAAGTTCAGTGGACAGAGCTGTAGACGAATCAAATCTAGGGGCTGGGCTTGTGTTCCAGCAGGGACTTCGAGATTCTGTTGCTTCAGGCGAAAGAAGTGCAGACAGTCAGCTTGTAGGTTCTGCTTTGCTCTGATGCGGGGTTAGCTGCATCTGCAACTCCGCCCCGGTCTACTCTGACCAGACTCAACAAGTGACAGCTCCTTGCCCCTGACTGGCCTGGTGCAGCGACATGTTAAAGACCGTAATTGCTTTAATTTGTCGACCGAGTTTTTTGTTGAAGCTCGCCCTTTGCTCAAGTAGCATCCCAGCAACCAGAATTTTGCCTGACCAAACCCCAAGATGGAAGATGTAGAGATTGAGTCTGTAAGCTGAATGTGGTGTGACTTGTGAGTAGACATGGGAATGAAGCGAGGAGGGTTCATGTCTTGAATGCTAAATGCACTGAACCGGGAGTTTGGTTTTCAAGGTATGGTTGGGTGTTCGTCCAAGATCTACAGGTTACGGGTCCAGGGCATAGCTCGCGGAATTGCTATGACCCCATGCTGGCTTGGGGCAGTCTCATCTGACCCGCAAAATCACTTTGCACCCTACACCTCAAAACCTGAACGCTATCCTTGAGAACCGAAAAAAGCAGACTCAAGGAGAGACGAAGAGACGATGAAGACGGTGCAAGGCTTAGAACATCTCCTTGTTTTATTCCAGGGATGTTGGCTTTTTGAGAGGGTCTGGAGGGAGTAGACTTTACGAAGACACGCGAGCCAGCAAACAAAGGCAAAGCGTTTGGGTCCTTACAGCGTTTGTCAAATTAAAGTTCTTATTTGAAGTAACGGGTAAACTAGCGTTCTGTGGTGTGTTTAAGAAAGACTCCATAATTTTGGCTAACTACCAGGTGAGTCCTAGATGGTGTTAAAGCTTATGACTGGCCGTGTCTGGGGTAGCCTGTTCAGCAGCTTCGGCTGCACGGCGTCTTGACAGGGGAGTGGTTGGCTTGAGCTGTAAGGGCTATAAGTGCTTTACAGTTGATTGTGGATAGTTGCAGCTGCAGGGCTCCTTGCCAAGTTTCCAAGGCCTTGCGGGGCCCGCAAGAAGATTGAAGAACACTTTTTAGGGAGTTGGTACAGATGCAGAGGGGAGAGATAAGAAACAGCAGAGCTTCAGGATTTCAGAGGGTCGAGGGCTCGAGGGTCAGATATTAGAGAGTTCACAAGCAAAGGGTATGAGCTCTTAGCCAGTTTTTGGTGCAGGGAATTTTGGGAGGTTGATGGGTTGAGTCTCCGACTTCACCAGCGCTGTATGGAGCTGAGCAGAGGGTAATCCCCTGTTACGCCTTCCGTCTTGGACTGTTCCAAGACTCAAGCTTTCCTACTCGCCAGAATGCTCGACTTCAATTGGCGAATCCTCCACACCCACGACCCTTAACGAGCCAGGATAGTTTAGGGGGTGGAAATGTCCAAACCTGTAAAGGTTATGGTTGTGCATTGGGTTACAGTGGAGCGGTTGAGGATTCCAGGCATGCAAATTCATGAAGGAATTGCAGGAGA